TTTTTGAACGTACTCGCGATGACGAGTTGCCCAACACCCGCCACTGGGATCATTTCAAGCGAGTAATCAAAGACACTGCCCTTCAGTATAGTCGTGGTAACAGTCGGAGGAGGCACCAACGCATCCAAGAACTTCAACGCCACCGCCAGCAACTCCTCTTTCGACGATGCCCTGATGACACTGTCAAGGAAGTTGCGCTACGCGAAGTCGAACAAGAGCTTGTTGAGCTCCAAGAGCAACAGACTCGCCAACTATTATTACGCTCGGCAACTCGCTGGCACGAGGAGGGCGAACGCAATAACAAATATTTCTACCGGGTACTACGTGAGCGCACAGCTGCAGCGACCATCACACAGCTACAAGATCCTCAGACTGGTGAAGTGGCACTCACAATGCCGAGCATTATGCGGATGGCACGCTCATTTTACACCGATCTATACACACCGGATCCAGTACATCAAGACAGCATAGATCGATTGTTAGCCGCCATCCCCCAGACCGCACAGTTGACTGACGCAGATATCGAATACTTGTCGGCACCTTTCACTCGAACCGAGCTGATGGACACGATTACCCATACACCTTTAGGCAAAAGCCCCGGACTTGATGGCATATGCTTTGAAGTATATCGACATTTTGTGAACAATGCTTCGGTAATCGACCTCTTGCTTTCCGTGCTGAACACCGCATTACATGACCATCAATATCCGGCTTCCTGGCTTAATACTCGCATGGTCCTACTTTTCAAAAAAGGAGATGTGCGATTGCTGTCCAACTGGCGCCCCCTCTCCTTGATCAACGCGGATGCCAAGCTCTATACCAAGATGTTGGCGAACAGACTGCAACCCATGCTCCAACAGATGATCAATCCATACCAAACTGGATTTCTCACTCACCGCCTGATCTCGGACAACGGCTGGACGGTTCAAACTCTCATGCGTCATGCTCAAAACGTGGCACCTGACAACCCTGCTGTCTCCATTGCACTGGATTTTCAGAAGGCTTACGATCATGTGCATCCGGATTATCTAAGACAAACAATGGCAAGGTTTGGCTTTCCCCTCTCTTTTATTAATTCTATTCTCCTTCTTTTCTTTTCCACTTCCATTTCTATTTCTATCAACGGATGGCTTTCTGAGCCAGTCCAACAGCACAGAGGGTTACGCCAAGGTGATCCTATTTCCCCTTTACTATTTAACATAGCTTGTGAACCGTTACTTCGTACCCTTCTTTCTGACCCCCTTCTCTTGGGATCACCATTGGCGCCGCTTACCGAGCAACGTTGGCAACGACGTGCTCACTTTCGTACTGGTACATTACCGCTTCCACACTCACCGATAAAATTGTTAGCTTATGCCGATGATTTGTTGGTATTCCTCCACAACCCAGGTGAATGGCCACGCTTGCTTCAGCATCTACATGAATATCGACAGGCTTCCAATGGGCGAATCAATCTCAATAAAACCGTCGCGATCTCTCTATCTGGTAACAATCACCCCACATGGCGCACTATCCTGGATCCTCTGGGGATCACCTGGCATGACAAGACATCATATTCGGCAGTTACGTATTTAGGTTACCCTTTATACAGCTCTGAATCGCAGATGGAAGTATTTCTTGACCGCATCCTTACCAAGATCGAGCGACAGATACATATACTTCAACAACGGAGATTATCAGTCCTAGGGAAATCGATGGTCGCTAATTCCCTATTGTTGGCGCGCCTTTGGCACATCCTGCGAGTATGCATTGTCCCGGATAAATGGCTCAACAAATGCACCACCTTGATTCGACAATATGTACTGCCTTTTTTTCCGTATCCTCGCATGTGCCATGTGTATGCACCAAAGCAGCTCGGTGGGCTTGGTATAGTGGATATCCATTCCCAGTACCTAGCATTGCATTTTACGTATCTTCAACGGATATTCATGCCTTCCGACCACCAGATACAGCATCCATCTTTCATCACCTCTCATATTACCCAGCTCTTCCGAACGTATACTGGTCAGCCATCACTATATTCGCTTCTCTTGTGCGACAAACAACTACAATCCCTCTGTGCCAAGGTCCCGCACTTGATACAGCTACTTAAGCTGACGGCAAAACTACCGAAATTCACCATACCCTCGACGGCTCCACTATGTGCTCTATTGGAACTACCTCTGCAAGGCGTTCTTACCTCGACCGCTACCAGAGGCGACCTGAAGTGGCTGTCACCAAAACTCCTAGTGTGCGACCTCTATACATGGTGTCCCACGACTTTACGCCTTCAGCCCGCCGTCAACCGATATACACCAAGGATAATTACCAACATCCGGACCAAATTACTCCTTGGCCAGCTTCAGCAGCATCCCATTTTAGAACATAGTTTTTCCCATTCAGTATCATTGAGCCCTTGGCTCAACCGAATACCCACTTCTCAATGGTGTCTACCTCCATCGACAACAACTTCCCAGATCTCACCCTCAAGACAGCATCTAGCCAAAGAAATCAATGTTTTACACGTGGGACCAGGACGCCTACGTCGCTATTGGCTCAAGACCTCTACCACTACTGGGATAAGTACATCTCTCTCACCAGCACAATGGCGGCTCTTTTGGCGTTTACGTTTACCTCATGGAATTCGTACGGCCTGGTGGCGTCTACTCCTGGATCGTATCTCCAACAAAGCGCATCTCCACCCCATTCTCCCCTCCAAGCACCCCACAGATCTCTGCCCACTCTGTGAAACCGAACCTGAAACGCTCCGACACTTCGTGCTCGATTGTCCGCTGAAGGCCACGTTCTGGATATATGCCTTGCCCATGATTAATGCACCACCATCCACTACTCTGGACATCGTATGGGATGCTATCCATCTTCGTTTTTCGTCTCCTCTGGACTTCTGTGCTCAAAATCTACCAGCCATCGGTTTGGTACTCCAAACCATATGGGCGATGCATTGGCGCTGCGTGCTAGAGGGATCCACATGGAATCTTACTGTCGCAAATAATCATTTAATGGAACTTAAGACTCGATATAATTTTCTTGTACCTGAACTAAACACCTAATCTTGGGGTCCAGCCCCAAGAAAATAAAACATATACATACAAAAAAAAAAAAAAACAAGTCGCATATGCAGCGGTGGCGAGTGATAATCCCGTTGAACACATATCTCCATATATGCACGAGTGTAACGTCACTCCTTGGACAAATCCGGGGAGTACATCGACACCAGCAAGTTCTATCTTTGGAAATTGTCGTCTACCTTCCATCTCTGCATACCGTTTTTAGCTGTCGTCCTTTACACAATTTGAATAGGGAGAGAACCGACGCAAACAAACTCCACTTAAAGAAATTCACGTCTACTTCCCATATTCTCTCCCGTGGACGACTGTTAAAAATACTTCTTTAAACTTTTCGTATTACTTGTGACAAATATTTCCCAAAATATCATCGAAGTACGGCCACTATATAAGAACCCCAGATCAAATACTAGATGATAGAAAAAAAATCAAATTACAATGTCCCCAACAGTTCATAGCAACAGCAAGGTTATCCTAATCACCGGAGCGACCGGTGGTCTCGGAAGACTAGCGGCCAAACGATTTCTTGCCGAAGGTCATACGGTCGTGATTACTGGACGAAGCAGCAGCCGGCTGGATGAAACCGTTCAATGGCTCGAACTTTCCTCCTCAGCTCGGGCGCGCCTTCATACAATTGTACTGGACCTCGAAAGTTTGGCGTCCATCCGAAAAGCCGTGGAAACGTTCAAGGCACTCGATCTTCCGCTTGACGTGCTGATCAACAATGCCGGTACCACATTGTCGAGCCACGAGTTTGTCGCCGAGACTACGAAAGTGGAGAAAACCATATTTGTCAATGCAGTGGCACCGTGGTACTTATCCATGTTGATGAAGCCCTTGATGCATCCCGGTAGTCGGGTCCTGTTTGTCGCTTCCAATCTTCACGATCCAAAGACCAAGGGCCCTTTCGCGACAATGAGCAACGGACCAGTGAACGATCCCAACCTTTTCCAACTCCTTGACGGCAAGAAAAACTATGACACCTTGGCGTACTACAAGATTAGCAAGACGGCAATGATCTGGGTTGCTTATCAAATGGCAAGAGAGTCACCGGACTTGAATATCCTCGCATTTTGCCCTGGATTCGTGCCTATTACGGATCTCAATCGTCAACAGCCTTGGGTTTTCCGTGCTGCGCTCAAGTATATTCTTCGTTACACCAGCTCAAACGCCGTATCGCCCCAACAAAGCATTTCTGAGTACCTATACTACGCCACCAGCGAGGAGCTTGCCAATGTTACTGGACAGTACTTTGAATTTGGTAAAAAAGCAAAAAGCTCGGTGCGATCGCAAAACGTAACTGAAGCAATCAAGTTTTGGAACCTTTCAAGCGAAATTTGTAATGCACCTGAATATGCCCTCAAAAAGTAGTTTTCTGTACAACTCTTAGCAGTGTGTAAAAGATCCCTATATGCAAATATAATGTATACCAATAAATATTCTTGTTATGTACGCATTCGTTGCTATTTTGGTAATAAAAGATTATGCGTCCTCACTGCACGTTCTCATAATATTGCAAGCTCAGAAAAGAATATATGTACGTGCAGGTTGCTTGAAATGAAAGTGCAAGTATATACAAGCCGGGCTACAAGATTAGCCAACCACTTGAAATACAAGCGGGGGTGAATATAAGCAGTGACCCGGTTTTTCCATGTCATCATGGATATTTAGAGGATATGTGCCAAGTTTACAAGCATGTGATTCCTTCTGTAGCCGCAGCATGGTGACTGACACAGCAACGCTGCGTGACGTTCAAAATTCGAATATAAAAGGAGGTGCTCAGGCTGTCAATGTTCTTTTTCTTCGCTTGTTCTTGAGATATCTCATGGACAAGCACCTTCCAAAATTTGGACCGAAACAGAGAAGATTAGCATGGCCCCTTCACAAGGATGACACTAAGAATCTGAGTTGGATCGCTCTACGGAGCATTTTTTTAATCTCATGGTCTAATGGCAAAGACACCATATGCTGAGCATTATGGAAATACCGGTTCGATTCCGGTTGGGATTGATTATCACTACTATCACTATTACTTAACAAGAAAAGCAAAGAGGCTTCTGCTCCAGCGAGATGATCCCAGCCTTTAAGCTCACCATTCACCTATCAATGTTCCTGTGGTTGCTATATCGGACAAAGAGTCAAATTTTTATTATTTTATTGATTTCTATTACGAAAGATCAATCAAAGGGGAATCTTCAACAAAGGGCTGCTTCTGCGCAGGCATATGTTGCTGCGGCTGAGGGTAATTAGGGTACATCTGTTGAGATTGTTGCTGCTGCTGCGGCTGCTGTTGCTGGGGTTGTTGAGGATAGTAATAGTTAGACTGGCTCGGCGGTGGGGTGTGGTATTGTTGTTGTTGAGCTGGTGGCTGCTGCTGGTAGGATTGCTGTGCTTGAGGATCTTCAGGCTGAGCGTATCCATGTCCTTGAAACTCGGGGGCAGTCGCAGAAGGGATAGATGAATGGTAACCGTTCGCAGCAGGATATGCAGAATGTTCAGTAGCTTGAGGGTACTGGTATCCATTCATCGGGCCATGCTGTGGGTATAAAGGTGTGGCATGCTCCTGCCCTGGCGTCGCCACCGGTGCATGCGGATAACCAGCTTGATGTACCGGATTCGAGTAGTACGAATTTCGGTTATAAGCTCCGGCAACACGCTCCTCCAACAATCGATCGTAAGTCTTGACTGCTGTATTCATCTTGTCATGTAAAGAAACAAGAATCTCTGCACCATTTGATTAGCTGCGAAATAAACATATGGCCAATAATGAACTTACTGTGCTTATTGATCACTTCCTCCAGCGTCTGCACAAGCTTTGGTTGTAACGCACCGATTTGAGTGTACAGCTTGTTGATCTGCGGGTCGTTGGATATATCACCACCCCTGGCGTGGATGCGCTCAATTAACGTCGAGAACAACTCAATGTTCTCCATCTCCACACGAGAAATTTCATCAGGATTAACCACCGGCACCTTTGCCTCCCATTGCTGTTCTTGCACATTGGATCGTGGTGTTGGTGTAGACAATTGCATTTCGCGTAGTGAAGCAGCAATGGCTGCGGCAAGCTCTGGATCGTCCTCTTCCTGGTGAACCTTTTCCACTCGTGTCAATCGAAAACACTCAAGTACCTTTCCTTCATGCTTACCTGCGTCGTTGATGTAGGGGTTGACTGTGATGGCTGGGCAGGTTGAGATGGAGTGTATCCCCTACCAAAGTTCTTCTGTTGCTCTGCCTCCTTCAACGACATCTCGATAGCTTTCTTCATATCATCATCGAATTCATCGTCACCAGACGCAGGTGCGGGGGCAGGAGCAGCCGCTGCTGCGCTCACGGGTTGCGACGATAGCGGTACCTGTGTCTGGGGAGAGAATGGCAGCGGCGGCAATCCTCCTTTCCTGGCAGCCTTTGCAAGCTTCAATTTGACATGGCACCCATCACATACTCGAACCTCTTCATCAATTCCCAAATGCGGCAGCGGCATTGTCTTCCCTGAACAGTCTTGGCAGAACGTGTGACCGCATTGTCGGCAATGATGCTGTTGATACCCCATGAGTCACGCATGCCTCATGCTTTCCTTCCCGTCATACCTTTCTGTTAGTCATAGTAAATGGTGTTCTGCACCGCTCGCAGACATCAGAATCCGTCCATTCAGGTGGCTACGTAGAATCCATATCAGCACACCCATTATCCCAGCCAAAAGGTAGCTTACAGCAGATGTTTCCAGCAATATCGGATCAATCGCAGTATTCATAGGAGGGAAAACGTGTCCTTCAGCTTGCAGCAGGCGATGCGTATCGGTGATATAGAACAAGGCTGGATTTCCTTTTGCGGCAAGACTCCAGGTTTGGATAATGGATAAGATCTTGTTCTTTACGTCCGGGTTGCACCCCGTCTGGTTAAGGAGAAAGGGTGTGTCAAGGTTACGTTGTCTACGATAACAATAACAATTGGCTTACCGGTGACCGTGCCATCGATGTAAGCTGATCCATAAACTCTCGACTTGCGACTTCTCGAACAAACTGGTCTCCTCCGTTTTTGACGCAAGTATCCACAAGCTTTTATGCATGTCAGCGACCAAGAATTGCTAAATGGCAATTGACAACTTACCGAGAGAGTAGACATTTGAACATTGGGGTTCTTATGCTCCAACCGCTTCTTAAATGACTGCATGGCATCTTTGGCATTGACCTTTTTACTGCGGATTTGATCGCTTATTTCAAGATGTAAGGCGAGATCCTCTTGCCCAGCTGGCAGGAGCTCCGAAGTTGCCTTCTCTACAAAGCTGTTAGCCACGGTTCAGACTACCAAATTCTCACTGTGATAAGGTTACCAATTAGTTCGTCCAATGCACTTTGTCCCCACCACAGTGAAACCATAATGTTGAAGAAAAAAGAAAGGTTGCGAAAAAGAAAGGAAGTTGCTTGGCACTTGTCTCGGCGTCGGACACTGTTTCACACGTGCGGACTCGAAATTCTGGTGCTTGGTTAAGCAGATGTACCTTTTCACTGAGTAACTGCATCCCCTGTGAGAAAAATAGATAAGGCAGTGAGCTCAATGCTATTCTCTTTCGTTCAGAAGTAGTACATGAGTACATGGCAGCCTATCTGAAAACCAGCAAGATGTTTTTCTTTGTGATATCGTAACGCTGCAACGCCTACCATTGGCATTGGTATCTCTAAAAAAGGCATGACTTTTAAATATGAAGCTATCTAATGTTTTTGTTGAATTGCTTATATTATGCACGGTAAAATTATATAGCTTCTACTATAATAGAGTACTATCAAGTAATTCCTATTGCAATATGATATGTATGTGATGTGAATATTAAGAGTAAAGTTGCTCCTTGCGTGCGGTAGTGCAAATGGCTATATTGGATGTAGTCGCTCCACGACTGATATCTTGTTCTCCTCATCTTTCCCAGTACATAGTAGCTAATGGTCATTGGTATATTAGCGTCTACGTACTTAAATCACAGTTGTCTGTGACGGTTCCATCACCGCAGCTGCAGAATCGGATGCGACTACGACTCTATTTTTAAAGTATTGAAATCCATATATAGTGCATTTCTGGAAAATACGCTTTGATCTTGTACTACAACAAGCAACAATAATAATAGATGCCCAGTTTGAGCTCAAGTCCTGTAAACAAATGTAAAAGGGGAGTGTTTATTCATTTACTTGAAGCACTGATCGAGTAAGAGTGATTTATGCAGAGCCGGACAATAAAAGTTTCCATTTCATTGTTCAATGATAATATATCAATAACTCTTTCTCAGTCTAGGAGTAATACATTTCTAATAAGCTACCTCGACTGAGAGCAAACAGAATACAATACGCTTTAAGTGTAGTATATATCCAAGATCCTGTAAGTTATGCAAAAAGTGAAGACCTATATAAATATCCCGCGGCAGCGACAATTACATGTCAATGTCCTGGACTGGGAAACGCTTGAAATTACAGTTAAAACGAGCTGCATAAGATTGCCTAATTCAAATCGTGCAAAAACGGCTAATAGTACAGTTTAATATACTACATACGTAAGCCCATGCACTGAACCATCATATTCTTCGAGTCTCTTTCATGAACTTTCTGGTACCTGATTTTGGACTGCGGACTTGCTTATCATACATAAGGATGGGACGCGTCTCCACTATTTGCATAACGAATCGTAAATGTCTTCCGTTATCAAATTTGATACGGAATAATGACAAAGCTCCGTGCGCCAATATATGAAAGTGGAGTTCAGTGACCTCCATAGGATCGTAAACATGAAAAATTTTGAGTTGCCTGTTCAATTAGTTTTTAGAAGATATTTATGCTCCTCGAAAGAGATACACAACATTCCAACATAAACTTTTTATTATACTCTCCAAAGCTAAGCCCATTCGGAAAGATATATTTTTCTTATGTTTATGATCTTATAGACGTTTACTATACTCCCCTAATATATATATGGCGGATGCAATAAGAACATAAAAGTATGAGTGTAAATGATGCGTAAAAAAACGCCATCAGCCAACCCAGTGTTAGATTTTTCCCCATTTGAATCTTCATTAATCGGCATTTACTCGAAAATGAGCAGGATCGCAGCAAATATTGCAAACCAATGTTATTGTGGAGGAGATTACTATGATGAAATAGGATTGTGTATATTTCATTTCAAGTCAACATATGCGCCGATTATCTGCATCATGAATCTATCCAACTGAATTAAACATAAAATAGGTATCGCCTGTATAAAAGAAGACTACCATCTGTTTGATCCGGGTTCTTTCTCAACCAAGGAACCCAGCGGGTTACAGCGACAGTTTGTTACGTAAATTGAAAGACATTTCCCATCTCTTATGTAAACAAGTTCATACCAAAATCAGGCAAGACACACGTACAGAACTCTAGTATGTTGCTGAGCAAGTATTCTATCTTATACCCTATTATTCTCTCACTGGTAACGCAAAAGTTCAGCTAGTGAACTTCATCAAAAAAGGTCTTCAAAAGACAGAAAATTTTGAAATTGTAATTCATAAAGATGGTGTTTCTCAGAACCTTAACGTCTAAACGTTTGTCGGGAAACGGTTGGATTATCGTAAAGCGATAATATTTCCGAGATGATATCATATCACTGCAAATGAGACAATTAATAAGCATACATACGGATAGGCTTCCTCACAAGCTACGGTGATAACGTAGGGTATGGAATACGAAGCAAGCAATTCATAAAAGTCAGTGCTGAACCTCAGTATTGAAATCGCACCCTTTGGGTTAGATATCCTTTTTCTTACAGAGCACGCATCAATACACAGATTCTTATTCATGCTTTGAGAAAAAAAATGCATAAGCAAGTCGACAACACGTGAATGCAAGTGTGAGTAAAAATTTTGCGTTCTTTCACTATCATTTTTCATTCCACGTAGCATTTGTAGCAAGAGCAACGTGTACGCGTTTGGTAACGTTTTTGACGCGTTCAATCCACTGACAAAAGCAAAACGGACTCAAATTTCTTTGTACACATAG